AAAATTAACAGAGAATGTGAGTCATGGATGATAATTTTTGACCCTAAAAGTGTACTATAGCCACTTGAGGAGAAACTAATCTGTTTTAATTATTGTGTGTCAATTGTAGCCATCAGTTAAAATTGTAACAACTCACCCTTCACCCCGCCCCTGTTGTTCAGTGGTTGAGCACCCACCCATGAACCAGGGGGTCACGATTCCTACCCCACCCCCTCTTCCACATGCCTGGGTTTGGGGCTCCATCCCCAGTAGGGGTTGTATAGGAGGCAGCTGCTCAATGAATCTCTCTCATCATTGATGTTTCTAGCTCTCTCTCCATTTCCCTTCCTCTCTCTGAAATCAATAAAAATATATTTTTAAAAAAACTCTAAAACCTCACTATACTGAAGAAGTTTTTGAAATTATAATGATGTGGTTCTTCCATTTCTCTCAAGGAGTTATACTTTAAAAAATATATATATTTTTATTGATTTTTTACAGAGAGGAAGGGAGAGGGATAGAGAGTTAGAAACATCGATCAGCTGCCTCCTGCACACCCGCTACTGGGGATATGCCTGCAACCAAGGTACATGCCCTTGACTGGAATTGAACCTGGGACCCTTCAGTCTGCAAGCCGACGCTCTATCCACTGAACCAACTGGTCAGGGCTCAAGGAGTTAATCTTTATATGACTTTCTATACCAGCTGTGAAAGCATCCTATGGTCTAAAATGCATCACAACAATGTGGTTTAAAAAAATGTGACACATTAAATATAGAGTGTTCCAAAAATGTATACACACACTTTGAATAATCATAAAGGCAGTGTTTATTAAAATACATTTCATTTTCAACATTGAGTGATTAGCTGTTTAAGTGTGTATACTTATTTTGGGGACACCCTGTATATATTATTGAATTCACTACTTCAAAGAATACCCTCACCCACTAACAAATATTTTAGTATAAATCTTCAGCGACAAAAATGTTCATTTATAAGTCAGGCCCCCTAAATATAAATTTTTTACCTGTAGGAAAACTTGGACATATAATTTGTATATATTTAAAACTTTAAAAAGTAATATGAATAAAAATGAAAAAGATTCAGTCTTCATGCTTACAAATTACTGAATCTTCTAAGGCTCTAAAAATACCGCTGTTTAAAGCAAGAGTCAAGATTTCTAGGGAAGCCAACATGTAATTTATGTTTAAAAGAATTTCAATTACCATGTTGAATTTTCCTGTTCAGCTTTATTTATAAATAGATTATATAAAATATATTTTATTTTAAAGTGCAATATGGTCATATTTTTAAAGGATCCAGAATCCTGTGGTCCTTAAAAAGCAAAGATGACTGAGGGGTGAAGCAGTTCTTCACTCTTTAAGCTTGAGCATTTTTTTCCCTTCCACATTGTTCTCAGCTACCCAAGTTTGTTTTAAAATGTTCTCAACTACCAATTTTATTTTTAATACATCATTATACAAATGGGAGAAACCAACTCAGACTCTTGTCCACAGCATTTTCAACAGTCTAGATCAGTGATGGCGAACCTTTTGAGCTCGGCCTGTCAGCATTTTGAAAAACCCTAACTTAACTCTGGTGCCGTGTCACATATAGCACTTTTTTGATATTTGCAACCATAGTAAAACAAAGATTTATATTTTTGATATTTATTTTATATATTTAAATGCCATTTAACAAAGAAAAATCAACCAAAAAAATGAGTTCGCGTGTCACCTTTGCCATCACTGGTCTAGATGTTCCTGATAATATACATGCTTCCTGTGTTTGTAATCTTGAAACATTAGTACAATATTAACCTCTAGAATGAATCTAACAACATCAACCATTGTCCACTTACATACACTTCATGGTTTCTGCTATGTTTTTAAATATGTCAGTGCTGATGGCCTTCTTTAAAAAAACAAAACAAAAAAACATACCCTTAAAGAAACAGAGTGTAAAATCTGTAAATCTGTAGAGAGTTTAGAACATTATATAGTCGCAGGCTTCAAAGTTCAATGTAAAGAGTGACAAAATCTGTGACCACACCAACGAAAGACGAGGCCATAGCCTTATATGATCATAGACTAGAGAGATAGATGCTTTTGAGAAATGAACATGATACCAACCACAAAGCCTACAACATACTACGCATGTTTTTTAAATAATAAAATGGTGAAAACCAGGATTTGCCTTAGTTCAATGTTGAGGGCAACTGTGCCCTGAACGCCCGTCTAGCCAATTCTGACACCCAACCTGCCCAGTGCTCCTTCCATCCACTCTCCCCCAAGCCTCTAGCCCCCCTCCTAACCCAAACGCACACACCCCAGCCTGGAGAGAAGATAAAGCTAAGATGGCAGCGCGGAAAGTGCAGGAGCCGCACTCAGTGGGACAGGAAAAACAAAGCAATGTTCTTTCATTCTGCACATTTCTTTAATAACCAGACCCCACCCACCTCACCTCCAGCACAGCAGCGGAAGACACTGAATAGTAGGGTGCGCAAAATTGGCGGGAGGGAAGGCTTGCTTTGCATATTGCCAGAAACCCAAATCATCCGTCAGCGGGGACGGTTCAGGTGACCCTTGCGACTTGCCTTGGGGGCCACCCTCCCTTCAAGTCCCCTTGACAGTGGAATTAAAGGAGACTCCAATCGTTTTTTTGTTTTGTTTTGTTTTTTGTTTTTCTCCTTCCCCGCCACCCAGGGAAGCCTTCCAAGGTGCCCAGCTGCCAAGGCAGAAGCTGTAGCAGTTGCAGTGACCGGGGAGTGCACACTGCAGAGGCAGGAAGAGGAGGAGGAGGAGGAGGAAAGAAAACGCAGCGTCTGCTATTAATTTACAGTATCGCTGCCGCCCGCTGTTGCTGCCGCGGTGGTGGAAGGATACGCCACCCTCGGTCAGAAACCGAAGTGAGCAAGTGTGGGCATTGCGCACGCCTAGCTGCGCTGCTCAATGACAAGGGGTTCCTTATGAAATTCTCCAGTTACCGGGTTTTGTGTGTACCCAGAGGCTCAGGAAAGGGCCTGCCTGGGACGGAAGGGTATGGCGAAGCCCCAGGTGAAATGAAGGAAGGGGTGGGAAGAACTTGAGACCTGCGCAGCCCATAGGGTCAGTCCCACTAGACACTGTACATGGACAATGACTGCACATGCCGCCACCTAAGTCTAAGCTGGAAATGGTTTTCTGGGTACTCATCATCCATCCATCCATTCAACCAATATGTATTTCCCTCCTGCTTAGGGCTAGAGCCTGTGTAAAAGGATCTGGGAATGTAATGGGGGGACACAGACACCATACTTGTCCTTATGAAAAATATTTAGAATGTTTTGTTTTGTGTGCTACCACTTGCACAAAGCCATGTGCCAAGGTGGACATCCTAGATGCTTGAAGCCCTCCCATAATATCATGTAGTATTATTTTGACCATTATTCATTCAGAAGTTGAAACTTGCCCAAAGACACAAATAGAAGGGTTAGGATCCAAACCCTAGTCTGTCAGAGCCTTTTGGCTACCTCCTCGACTTCTGCAACAGTGAGGAGCCTTATAGCAGCTCCTATATGCAGTTCAGGCCTTTAACTCCACCTGCCATTAGCTGCCTCTCTACCTGTGTCTTAGCTCTCATCCCAGGGTTGGGGAAGAGGGCTTCCTGTTCAATACTGAACTTGTAACTCTGCTGAAACTTGAGAACAAATACTAATTGAATGCTTTCTATGTACAAGGGTCTATACAAGAAGCTAAGGAAGACACAAAGATAAATAAGAATCTCTGAAGGAGCTTATAGGATAGTTGAAGAAAGAAGACAAAAATTGTTTAACAGGGCTACTCACTGTATGAAAATACTATAATTCTGCAGGCCTGCCCTTGGTCCCTATGTTTTCATTGTCCCACTTCTGGCTATTTTGTTTTTTAATGTTATTAAAAATGACATCCATCTATCATTTAAAGCCCCAGAAAAAAATGCATTCCTTTACCACTTCCTCCCCTCCCCTCCAACTAGAATTAATTTACTTACGCAAGTTTTTTTTTTTTTTAATTCTTTTTAAGTGAAGGACGTTCAGGGAAGAGGCACAGACATAGGAGCTAGTAATTGGATAAAGAATATAGTACTGGGAGGCCAGGACTTAATGATTTTGTCAGGAGTGTAAATTTATACTCTTCAAATAAAGATAAAACTAATAGGAAACAGGATGCATTGGCAAATATAACTCTAGAGCATTTACTTAGAAGGGGTTAGTAGAATAGCTTGGAACAGGGAACTCAGCAAGTGTTACATTATATAGATAACAATGATAAGATCTTTGGTAGATATGACATTTCCAGATGTTGTACAAACACAGTCACAACTATAGTTTCAGGCCATATTCAAGAATTATCTTTAGTAATGTAAGTCTGGGCAGAAAAAGATAAGCCATTAAGTAACCACTTTTAGGAGAATGTGGAGTCAACAAAAGAGTATTTAAGAATAGAATAATGCCTTAAGATTTAACTCTGATGTAAATGTTGAGAACAATACTTTGGGAATGACTCTGGCTTGTGAACACTGTCCTAAACTGTGAATTCTACTTTCACAGAAAAAAAAAAAAAGAATGCACTAATTTACTACCTGTCTTTTGTAAGTAAATGCCATTTTAAATAGACTTAAATCCTAAAGACAAAAATTCTGCAAAGGGACTTGTAATCCGGTTGGCCTTCTGGGCCTTGAATTCAGAATTAATCAGCACTGCTCAGGCCGGGAGAGGTGGCAGGCTTACGTAACACTCATACTGGCGGGAGGCACGTTCCCTCTGCTTGCGGGTCCCAGCTCTCCCACCTGGTCGGAAACCATTACCTGCAGCCCAGCGTCTACAGCTGACAGCCTGCCTAGCTCTCTCCTTACTCTTCCTCAAGCTGCTAGTAAAGCCCGGAGAAGCGGATTTCTTTCAGGTTCCGTAGGGACTCACAGCCCCACTCCCGAAGCCGAGAGGCAGAGGGAGTGGCGGAGGAGAGGGGGAGGGGAGGGGAACAGGCTGGAGTTACTGAGCATGTGCGGGGCGTAGCGCATGCCCAGTGCAGCCGGCAGCTTCCCATTGCGGGCAGTCCGGGCGGTGGGAGCGGTGGTGGCGGCAGCTGCGGCGGCTACGCCTCCTCCTTACACTCCCGAGGTGGCGGGGTTAGATGAGCGGCCCCGGTAGCGGCGAAGGCGGCGCGGGGGGGGAGGAGGAAAAGAAGGAGGAGAAGAAGGAGGAGGTCGTCGCTGTCTTTGTAGTCTCCCGGCTGCTGGAGCGAGAGGCCACTGCCGGAGCCGTCGTCGTTGGAAAAGGGCTGTGTGTGCGCGCGCGTGTCTGCCTGTCCGGCCCGCGGGGACCAGGCAGCGGCGGCGGCGAGGAGATGATGTGCGCAGCGACTGCCGCCCCCGCCGCCTCCTCCTCGGGGCCCGGCGGGGACGGATTCTTCCAAGCCGCCACCATCTCTTCCTTCCCGGCGCCGGGGGCGCTGTTCATGCCGGTTCCCGAGGGCTCCGTGGCTGCCGCGGGGCTGGGGCTGGGGCTGCCCGCCGCGGACTCCCGGGGTCACTACCAGCTGCTGCTGTCAGGCCGGGCCTTGGCCGACCGCTACCGGAGGATTTACACAGCTGCGCTCAGTGACAGGGACCAGGGAGGCAGCGGCGCTGGACACTCGGCCTCCAGGTGCGTGTCCGGGTGCCCTTCCTTGCGCCACATGCTGCATGCGCTCCCGTGTGCGTGTGTGTGTGTGCGCGCGCGCGCGTGTCTACGTACCTATTGACTGAGCTCCCTTTCAGCAATGCCTGATGCTGTGCGGTAGAAACACTCAATTGAAGTAGGAGGGTGCGGTGGCAGCAGTTTCTGCTCTTAGTGTGTGTCTTTGTGGGTGGTTGGCGAGGGTGGGAGGGTAGCGTGTGATGTTCCAGAAAAGGTGATGGCTCGGGTCGGTTATGACACGTGTGTGTATTGTTGAGAAAGGAGGAGGGATGGGTAAAGAGTAAGGGGGTAATTAATACACGGAGAGAATTTGCAAGAGTGGTGAAGGCAGTGGCGGTTCCAGTGTCTGTCGCAATAGGATTTGCAGGAATTTCTCACCCCTCCCATCCCCCATGACATTCCATTCTCCCCTTTCCAACTCCCCCTAAAAAATAAATAAATAAATAAATAAATAAATAAATAAATAAATAAATAAATCTGCCAACCTTGCTAAGGATAGTGTCGTGTGTGTGTGTGTGTGTGTGTGTGTATACATATATCCATATATTTATGTATATGACGAGTTTTAGATAATCAGGCAGTTGGATAAGGCATGGAGTTTCAATGTAAGAGAATTAAGCAAGAGGGATGCAGATGGAGATTTATGTGGATGCCAAAGGTATTTGATTCAGATTTCTAGAGCTGCACTTTGATAACTGGTCTTCTAGAAATGTGGTTGCAGCTGCTCTTGTGTTCTGATGTCCCATCAGCCATTTCATTCGTCTGTCACTTATAGGCTTTAGAGTAGAGCGGGTTTTGTGGGAAAAGGGGAACGCTGAACTTCAAAATATGACAGCTGGGTAGGAAGTGTTCAGCTGCCACCAACGAGAAAATTTGAGTAGCTCCTAGATCTTTTCCTAGACTCCCTGTTCCTTTAGCTTCCGTGATATGTAGGAGATGTTAAATCACTTTCATTTTCTTTTCCTTAAAATATGGGTGTCTTTTTGCTGAGGGCTCTTCTGTGGTTTTCTTTTCCATGCCCTTACATGCCACACACCCTGAAGGAGGGTGACTGACTCGTTTCACCAGCTTGGCTTTTGACAGTGGTATTTGGGAGTTAGCATCATCATTTTTCTCACAGCTTCTTGCAATATATGGGGAAAGAAAGAATTGTAGAATTTTGTTAAATGTCACAGAGTTTACTGTATTTATTGAATGCACAGTTTGTTAGGCAATAACCAGATGTCATTTTGTCCCATTATGAGAGGGGTAGGTTGTAAGTCAGGTATTGGAATTTTACCAGTATGTACTGTGGCTCTATCTATTGCAGAGTAAAGGTGGAGCTTTGTTCACACATTTTTTCTGGGTAAACCAGTCTTCTCATATCTGTGATTGTTTACAGGATTAGATGCATGAATAGTTTTATCATATGGTTATAAATGTATGTAACTACCTTATGCTATCTAAGCTGAAGGCCATAATGGCACAAATCTGTTTCTTGCTAATGTTTTTTAAAATAGAAAACCTTACACTGTGCTCTGATAATTAGGTATAATTTTGAGCTGTGAGTCTCTAAATTATGGTACTAAGGATACATCTTTACAAAGCTCTTCCAAAGAATTTGAATTTACTTTGTATGTTATTTCCTGACTTACACAATAACGTGCGACTGGTATAATCCTATTTTAATTTCTTACTATTATACTTGTGTAATGCAATTTCTATATATCTAGAACTGTATTCAAGTTTTAAAATTTGTGAATGTTTTTTAGCTTTTGGCCCATTCTTGTACAAGCTGTCAGTTAAAATTAATGAAGAATTAGTTCAAGTATATCAAGAAGTACTCATGGAAACTGCCTTAAGTTGTATAATATTACCTTCAACAGCTTGTTCAGAACATTATTGTTTATTATCGTTCACATTATTTTTTCTAAGTCTTAGCCTGCAACCAACCTTTATTGAGAATTTGCTTAAAAATTCAATCACATTTCTTAATAAATATGATGGGAAAGTGGAAATGGGATTTAGGTACTGAATGAATAATATTATTATAACTAGCTGAGTTGGAGGAGCAAATGAGATATTTCAGAGACAGAGGGAGCAAGAATAGAAGACAAAGCTCTAGTGAGATGAAGTTTAAAGGATGAGAGAAAGGAAACAGGAAGAAAGCTTTAAAAAAATAAAAATATTAGGAAGAGAGCCATGAGATCGTAGCATTTCTGGTCCTAGGAAAGTAGATTGAAAGTCCACAGCAGTGTTAAATGATGAAGAAAGTGAGAACACTTTCCAGGTCACTGATGACTTTTGAGGAAGTGGTCATAGTAGAGAGATGTGGTGAAGAGTCAGTGGGAGATGTTGAGGAAATGGGGAGATTAACAGGTTATCAGTAAGTGGAGAAGGAGAAATTAAAGAAGTGAGAAGAAGGATAATTGATGGGGAGTGGTCAAAGGGAGATCTCAGGGACTGGTTTAAGATGTCAGGTGGAGCCTTGCAGGTGGGGATCAGTGATTGAGCATTGACTACGAACCAGGAGGTCACAGTTTGATTCCTGGTCAGGGCACATGCCTTGGGTTGCAGGCTTGATATCCAGTGCAGGAGGCAGCTGATCAGTGATTCCCGCTCATCAGTGATGTTTCTATCTCTCTATCCCTCTTCTATCCCTCTCCCTTCCTCTCTAAAATCAATAAAAATATTTTTAAAAAAAACAGGTAGAGTGGTTACCTGTTGAAAAAAGTAAGGAGCTAGTCTTTAATATACAAGAGGAGGAGGTGTTTAAAAATATAAAAACTAAGAGTTTATTGAGAATAAGAATTATATCCTATTTATTTTGGTAATCCAAATATCTAGAACAATATTTGGCATCCATTCTGTAAATATCAATGCCTCCTGTGAGCCAGGCACTGGTTTAGATGCATAAGATACAGCATTGAGCAAGATACACAAGGTCTCCACTCTCTTGGAACTTCTACTCCAGTGGGGAGAAATGAAAAACTGATAATATCAGGTAGTGATAAATATAGAGAAAATAAAACCAATTTCGTTGATAGACAATTTGTAGGTGGAGGGGGGGGTGCTGTTTTAGGTAGGGTGGTCAGGATAGGTCTCTGGGAATTGACATTTAAGTGGAATTGTAATAATGGGAAGACAGATTTAGAGTAAGAGTCTTTTAGGTAATTATAATAAAGGCTCAGGTGAGAACAAGCTTGTGTTTAAGGAACAAAACAAGGTGAGTTAGTTATCAGTCAGTAGTGAATGAATTCATTACCATGGATTATTTTTTATGTGTATAGTAGAGACATTGAGGGATGCAAGCCTAATGGAGTTAATGACTTTGATGGTATTATGGTGAAGTGGGTAAGAGCTTAGATTCTTAAGTCCACTAGTTTGTTTTTTTTTAATATATTTTATTGATTTTTTACAGAGAGGAAGGGAGAGGGATAGAGTTAGAAACATCGATGAGAGAGAAACATCGATCAGCTGCCTCCTGCACACCTCCTATTGGGGATGTGCCCGCAACCAAGGTACATGCCCTTGACCGGAATCGAACCTGGGACCTTTCAGTCCACAGGCCGACGTTCTATCCACTGAGCCAAACCGGTTAGGGCAAGTCCACTAGTTTTAAATATTGGCTCTGCCACTTTTTAGCTGTGTGACCTTGCATACGTTACATAACTTCTAACCTCAATTTTCTTAATTATTTATTTTAAGTTGAGATGTAATTGATATATAACCTTAATTTCAGGTATATAACATAACAGTTCCTTTTTTGTATATATTGTGAAATGAATCACCATTACCACACATAGTTATAATTTTTTTCTTATGATGAAAACTAAGATTTATTCTCAGCATTTTCAAATACAAGGCAGGGCAAAAGTAGATTTATAGTTGTTCATATGGAAAATAATGCAATAATTAATAAATAATAATACAAGAATAAACTCTTTGTTTTGCATACTTACAACTGTAAACCTACTTTTATCTCACCCTGTATACAATACTGTATTATTAACTATAGTCACCCTGCTGTCCATTGCATCTCCATGACTTATTTATATCTGGAAGTTTGTACATCTTCACCCATTTTGCCCATCTTCCCTCCCTGGCCCATCCCTCACCCCCTTCTGGCACTACTATTTTATTCTCTGTAGCTATGAGTTTGGTTTTTATGTTCTGGATTTCACATATAAGTGAGATCATATGGTATTTGTCATTCTCTGAGGTATTTCACATAGCATCATGCTCTTAAGATCTATCTATGGTGTTGCAAATGGCAAGATTTTTGTTTTTCAATGGCTGAATAATAATAGTATTTTCTTTATTCATTCATCCAATGATGGGCACTTAGGCTTAGGTTGCTTCCATGTGTTGGCTATTGTAGATAGCTGCTGCAGAGAATAAGGAGGGAGGTGCAGATATCTTTTTGAGTTAGTGTTTTCCTTTCCTTTTGGATAAATACCCAGAAGTAGAATTGCTGGATCATGTGGTAGTCGAATTTTTAATTTTTTGAGGAACCTCCATAGTGGCTGCACCAATTACAGTCCCACCAACAGTGCACAAGAGTTCCTTTTTCTCCACATGGCCACCCACAGTTGTTATCACTTGTTTATTTTGATAACAGCCATTCTAACAGGTGTAAAGTGATACCTCCTTGTGGTTTTGATTTGCATTTCCCTGATGATTAGTTATGTTGAGTGCCCTTTTTCATGTGCCTGTTGGCCATATGTATTTTTTTCTTGGAATTCTTTACTGGGATTGCTTGTTTTGTTGTTACTGAATTATATTAGTGTGTGTGTGTGTGTGTGTGTGTGTGTGTGTGTAGGATGTCTCCCAAAAATGTATAAACACACTTTGAATAATTATAAAGGCAGTGTTTATTAAAATACATTTCATTTTCAAAATTGAGCTATTAGCCCTGGCCATTGTGGCTCAGTTGGTTGAGTATCGTCCCATGTACCAGGAGGTTGCAGGTTAGATTCCCGGTCAAG